GCACGCAGGAGCAGCAGTAGCAGCAGCAGCAGTAGCAGCAGTAGCAGTAGAAGCAGTAGCAGTAGTAGGAGGAGCAGCAGTAGTACCAGTAGCAGCAGTAGGGGCCAAGGGGCCGGGAGCAACGGGCCACGGGGCCGAGAGCTAGGGGCAACGGGGCCTGGCGCGCGGGCTAGGGTCGACAGGGCCGGGGTCGCGGGCTAGGGGTCGACGGGGCCGGGGCGCGGGCTAGGGTCGACGGGGCCAGGGCGCGTGGGCTAGGGGTCGACGGGCCGGGGCGCGGGCTAGGGGTCGACGGGGCCGGCGCGCGGGCTAGGGGTCGACGGGGCCGGGGCGCGCGGGCTAGGGGTCGACGGGCCGGGGCGCGCGGGCTAGGGGTCGACGGGGCCGTGGCGCGCGGGCTAGGGGTCGACGGGGCCGGGGCGCGCGGGCTAGGGGTCGACGGGGCCGGGGCGCGGGCTAGGGGTCGACGGGGCCGGCGCGCGGGCTAGGGGTTGACGGGGCCGGCACGCGGGCTAGGGGTCGTCAGGCCGGGGCGCGCGGGCTAGGGGTCGATGGGGTCGTGCTAGAGGCAACGGGCCGGGCTAGAGGCGCGCTGGCTAGGGCCTACGAGCCGAGCTAGGGGCAACGGGCCTAGGGGCGACGGGCCAAGGGGCGACACGAGGGCCGCTAAGGGCAGTGCAGTGGTGGGCCCAAGAAAAAAACAGTCCTAGCGGAGGACCTGCTCTGAAACCATGTCAGAATCATGAACGAGAATGGATGAACTATGAAAGAGTTGGGTACAAGTACTAACCCTAATTTGGTTGTACCCCTTATGGGCTACCCCACTATAGCCTACACAAAAATAAGCACTATAACATTCTGACACATCACCTTCACAGCCAAGGCCTTCCACAGCGACAGACTGGGGTATGCCATCGACGACCCGAAGTACACCTTGGCCAAGTGCGGCAGGATGTCTGAAACAAGAATGCGGAACTGCTCCTCCGAGCGAGCAAGTGGGCAGCTGTGTGGGTCGACGCAGCTCGTGCATAGAGTGGGCAGATACAACAATTAATAAGTGAGAAAGTGAGTGAGAAGTTGTAGCCGACGGGGTAGGGAAGCGAACTTACTCGAACTGATAGTCGTGTAGCTGTCGCAGCTTGACCGCAAGTAGCTGCCTAGCCTCGGTGATGTCGTCCATCGGTTTTGTGAGTGGTTCGTCGAAGAGTATGGCCTCTACTTTGCACAAACACCCTAGCGCAGTTAGGCGCGCCAGCATCATCGGTGGGGTGCATTTTTTCGGCTTCTGTCCCGCTACTCTGGTCCGCTCGGTATCCAAGGAAGCCGCCTGTTCGTCCGTTCCGTCGACATGTACTCAACGTAAGCTCGCAACCGCCATTTCAACGTCCAAGGCCCATGCAGGTGCTCCTCGTTAAGGAGCGTCGCCCTCCACCCCTTCCCTAAATTCTCGCCGATCTCTCTCCCGACCTCATCCTCGTTGATCACCTGCTCCTCGACAAGCCCTCCGTTGTTTTTTCCGGGTGCCAGCCTTGAAATGCATGAAACCCGAGACTTAGTTTGGCCGAGTGGAATCCTGGTCGATTGCCAGCAGCGGAAGCCAACGACGGTGAATCGCACTTTTGAGTGTTCCCGTCGCCAAGTACGGATTTTCTTCGCCCTGTTCGTCACCGAGAATGTGGGTTGCCTCCTCTTCTGATATATTTGCCGCGGCAGGGCACAAAGGGTCCACCTCCTCGATATTGTCCGCCTCGGGCTGTTCTCCATGCTCATCGTCGTCACCATTCGTCTCTGCAGGGACGTGGCCGGCTAAGTCCGATTTGCTGGGTCTTTTCGATGAGCGCATAGGCGCGGCGGGAGTGGCCCGCGAAGCGGATGTACAGGCTAGGGGTGGTGGCCTAACCTCAGCCGGAACACCCATACCCCTTCTCCTACATCGCCCACCAGTCAAGCTCGGGACAGCGGCTACTAGTTCTGTTGGTTTTGTCGAACGTTGTGGTACAGAAGATGATGACGGCTGGTTTGTCGCTTCCGGTGTTAGGGGAGGGGTTGTTGTCGAAATTGGTTCTACTATTACACGTATGGATTGCGCCGTCGAAGGGACTTTGGTCGGCGCCCCCCCCCACTTCGACATTGACGGCACGTTCCGTCGAGCGTTGATCCGTCGCAACCGGCTGACCCACTACCAGTATGGCTCGTGACGTCGAGGGTGGCGCTGTTGATACCGTTATGGCTCGTGACGTAGATTGTGGAGCTGTAGAGCCCGGTATGGCTCATGACGTCGAGGGTGGCGGTGTCGAGCACGGTATGGCTTGTGACGTCATAGGGGGTTTGTCAGAATAATGAACGAGAATGAATGAACTAGCAAAGAGTTGGGTACAAGTACTAACCCTAATTGGGTTGTACCCCTTATGGGCTACCCCACTACAGCCTACACAATGTAAGCTATATATAAGTTTGACACACCCCCATAGGCAAAGTGGGGCAAAACAAGTGGTCACAAGACCAGTCAAGAAAAGCAAAGCAAGCTCAGGGTGGATCACAAAGTCACCACACAGTCCGAGCACAAGCAAAGGGCCACAAGGCCACTTCACATGGAGAGAAATATATAAGAGAACAAACAATACAGTGATCATACCCTAGCAAGTGCAAGCATGCAGGTATATGTAAAGATCACAGTACAAGCAGAGTCAAGCAGTAAGCAAGTGAGGCAAAGTAGGCACAAGGCCTAAAACAGTAGAGAAGCGCTGATGATCACCAGGCGGAAGTGCCTTGGTGAATATATCAGCAGTGTTGGCCTTAGTGGCCACGTACGCAAGACAAATCTGGCCACACTGCTGCAACTCTCAAGCAAGGAAGTATCGCAGAGCAATGTGCTTCGTTCTGTGCTCCAGTCTGTGCTCCTGACACAAGGCAATCATGGCCTTGTTGTCTACGTACAGAACTGGAGGCGAACGAGGCTGCTCTCCCAAGTCAGTCAACAGGAAGGTGAGCCAGCGTAGCTCCTGTGCAGCCATGGCACATGCGTAGATCTCAGCCTCACAACTGGAGCTGAGAACCGAAGACGAGCGGGTAGACCGCCAGGAAACAGAGCCAGAACCGAGGCTGAAGGTGTAACCCTGTGACGACCGCTGCGTAGCTGAGTCGTCAACCCAAGAAGTGTCTGCGTGACCAGTGAGGACAACTGGACCCCGTCCAAGCACGAGCCCCATGCCCGACGTACTGCACAAGTAACGCAGTACCCTCTTCGCAGCATCCCAATGCACCTTTCGGTGCCTACCGGGAGCCACGTAGTGAGCCAGGAGGCTGAGAGGGTACGCGAGGTCAGGTCGTGTGCACGTCATCAGGTACATGAGGCAACCCACAAGCTCTAGGTATGGACCACTCGGCTCTACGGACTCGTCCGAAGGTGGAGCTGAGAGCGAGTGGCTGGTAGACAGAGGAGTGGGCTGTGGTGAGGAGAACTGGAAACCAAAGCGCTGAAGGACCTGGTGCACCATGTGTGACTGAGTAAGTGTGATGGTGCGCCGTGCTTTGTCCCGGGTGATCTGCAAGCCAAGATAGCTGCACACTTCACCCAGGTCAGTGCAGGTGTGTCTCTTCTACAGATCCGGTTTCACATGTCAAACTTATATCTGCTATAGTCTATTTAGGCTGTAGTGGGGTAGTTCTTAGAGGGTACAACACTTTTGTGTTTTCTACTTGTACCCATCTCATTCCTAGTTCATTCACTCTTTCGTCAATTATCTCACATGGTATAGAGCTAGTTTCGAGTCTTTTTTAAGGGCCCACCACTGAAATGTTTCTTACCTGCCCGACACGCGCGTCGCGCCTGCCCTTCGAGGCCCGTAGCGGCCCCTGCGCCTGCCCTTAGAGCCAGCGCCGGCCCCCAAAGCAGCCGCGTCGCGGCCTAGCCAGGCGCCGCGCAGCCCCGTAAGGCCCCGTAAGGCCCCGTTAGGCCCCCTAAGGCCCCGTTTACGGCCCCGTTTACGTCCCCGTAAGGCCCCATAAGGCCCCGTAAGGCCACGTTAGGCCCCGTTTACGGCCCCGTAAGGCCCCGTAAGGCCCTGTAAGGCCCCGTCAGGCCCCGTTTACGGCCCCGTCAGGCCCCGTCAGGCCCCGTTAGCGGCCCCGTCAGGCCCGGTGAGGCCCCGTAAGGCCCCGTAAGGCCCCGTTTACGGCCCCGTAAGGCCCCGTAAGGCCCCGTAAGGCCACGTTAGGCCCCGTTTACGGCCCCGTAAGGCCCTGTAAGGCCCCGTAAGGCCCCGTCAGGCCCCGTTTACGGCCCCGTCAGGCCCCGTCAGGCCCTGTTAGCGGCCCCGTCAGGCCCCGTCAGGCCCCGTAAGGCCCAGTCAGGCCCCGTTAGCGGCCCCGTCAGGCCCCGTCAGGCCCCGTAAGGCCCCGTCCGGCCCCGTCAGCCCCCCCCCCCCCCCTTGCGGCCCCCGTTGCGGCGCAACTCCCGGCCCTGCCCCGACCCTGTCGCGGCCCTGTCCCGGCCCTACTTCGGCCCTGTCGCGGCCCTGTTCCGGCCTTGCCCCGGCCCTACCCCAACCTGTCGCGGCCCTGCTGCGACCCTGTCGCAGCCCTGCCCCGGCCCTGCTCCGGCCCTGTTGCAGCCCTGCCCCGGCCCTCGCCCCGGCCTTGTCTCGGCCCTGCCCCGGCCCTGCTCCTGCTCTGCCGCGGCCCGGCCCCGGCCCTGCCCCGGACCTGTCGCGGCCTCGCCCCGGCCCTGTCCCGGCCCTGCTCCGACCCTGCCCCGGCCGTGCCCCGGCTCTGCCCCGGCCCTGCCCCTGCCCTGCTCCTGCACTTCCGCGGCCCTGCCCCAACCCGGCCCCGGATCTTTTGCGGCCCGGCCCCGGCCCTACCCCGGCCCTGCCCCGGCCTCGCCCCTCGTAAGAGCGCCGCGCTGCCGAGCCGCGCCGCCCTGCCGAGCCGCGCCGCCCTGCCTAGCCTGCTTAGCCGAGTTGCACTGCTGCTGCTGCTAGCCTGCTGCTGCTCCTGTCATGGCTAGTCTCAATGTTCTTACCTTTGATGCTGAGGGTCGAGCTGTTGACTTTGAGGTCTGGCTAGATGATCTGCAGCTTTTCCTACAGTGCGATAGCAAGGATGGCCTCTCACTGTTCGATCTCACGTCTGGCGCCTGTGCTGCCCCTGCTGCTGATGCTGACAGTACTGTTCGCTCGCAGTGGCTCACGCGCGATGCTGCTGCTCGCCTTGCTGTGCGTAATCACATGCTGTCTACTGAGCGCGCGCACTTTAGTCAGTACAAGAGTGCTAGGGCTCTGTACGACGCTGTAGTTGCACGCTACTCCTCCCCTACCACTGCTGTCCTCAGCCGCCTCATGCTGCCGTACCTTTTTCCTGACCTTGCCGCCTTTGCCACAGTTGCTGACCTAGTTGCTCACCTCCGCACTAGTGACGCTCGCTACCGCGCTGCCCTTCCCACTGAGTTCCTTCCCACGAACTCCCCCCCCATGTACATCACCCTTTACTACCTAGTCACCCACCTCCCTGACTCTCTCTCCTCAGTCAGGGATCACTTTCTCTCCCTTTGCCCCACCGAGCTGACTGTCGACTTGCTAGAGGAGCGCCTTGCTGCAGCTGAGAAGAGTATCTTAGCTGTCGGTGCTTCTCGCGGCGACCGTCGCACCCCCTTCTTTGAGGGGTGTTCCCCTGTCCCCCTTCTCCCCTCTGTTGCCTCTGCTGCTGCTGTCGACCTCGTTGGCACTGAGGAGGTCGGCGCTGCGTCTGCCCCTAGTGGGCGACGCCGCACTGGCAAGGGCAAGGGAAGCAGGGGTGGTGGAGGGGGCGGTGGAGGCAGCGGTGGGGGAGGTGGAGGAGGTGGAGGTGGTGGTGGGGGTGGTTCCGGGAGTGGGGGCGTCGGTGGCGGCAGTGGAGGCCGTGGCGGCGATGGCGGAGGAGGTGGCGGCGGCGGCAGCGGTGGTGGAGGTAGCGGAGGAGGTGGTGCTGGTCGCGGTGCAGCCACGCAGCGTGGAGGCCTTGGTGGCAGCCAGCGTCAGCAGCTGCTGCGCACACGTGAGACCCCGTCTGTTCAGCAGCTTCGTGAGTGGTACGGTGGGCGTGGGAGGTCTGGGGGTGCAGGTCCCTGCACGTACGTTCTTCGCACCGGCACTCGTAGTGGGGAGGTGTGTGGTCTCCCACACACCACGCAGCGCTGCTTCGGCCGCTTGACTAACGCTTGGCGTACCCAGTTTCCTGACGCTGTTGAGCTTCCTCGTTGGCATGATCTGCTTCTGCAGAATGTGCCTATCTTTGATCTAGACTTTGATGCTATCCTTGCTGCCATGTATGCTCTTGCTGATATTACTGAGGGTAGCTGTTACCTGCGTGTCCCGCCCGACCCGGGCACTGTGGCTGCTGCTCTAGTTGCTAGTGCGGCTGCTGCTCTAGGTGCTAGTGCGTCTGCTGCTCCAGGTGCTGGTACGTCTCCTCTCTCTGGTACTGCACCTACTGAGTCCTTTCACACTTTCACACTTGACTCTGGTGCTTCGCGCTCTTTCTTCAGAGACAGCACCACGCTCACGCCGCTCAGTTGGCCTGTTGCGGTCTCCCTTGCTGACCCCTCAGGGGGCCCAGTACTTGCACACTCCTCCACTGTCCTACCGTGTCCTGCGGCCCCGTCGGGCTTGCTGTCGGGACTCCACCTCCCCTCGTTCTCTACGAACCTGGTGAGTGGAGCTGACCTCCAGGACGCGTGGGTTGACCAGTTCACCCCTGGAGGTCAGCGTGTGACCCACTGCACTTGCTCTAGGACGGGCCGCCACCTGGCCACGTTCACCCGTCGGCCAGGGTCGAGTCTGTACACACTGACTACTGCGCCTCCTCCGGTCTCTGCGTCTGGTCAGGTAGCTGCGTCCAGTCAGGTGTTTGCTGCCGCGTCCAGGTCTAGTCCTGCGTCTGCCCCCTGCTCATGTCGTCCTTTGGCACACGAGACTCTCCTTTGGCACCACCGCCTTGGTCACCCCTCCCTGCCTCGTCTTCGAGGTATGGCCTCCCGTGCCCTTGTCTCGGGTCTACCCAGGTCCCTCCCTCCCCTTCCTCCGGGGCCTGCCCCCACCTGTGTTCCTTGTGTCGAGGGCCGACAGCGCGCCGCCCCTCACTCCTCCTCGTTTCCTCCGACTGAGGCTCCTCTGCAGACTCTTCACATGGACGTGTGGGGCCCAGCCCGCGTCCGTGGACAGGGTCACGAGCGCTACTTCCTCCTGGTCGTTGACGACTACTCGCGTTACACCACAGTCTTCCCCTTGCGCAGCAAGGGTGAGGTCACTGAGGTGTTGATCGACTGGATCCGCGGTTCTCGTCGCCAGCTCAGTGAGAGTTTTGGCTCAGACCTTCCTGTTCTGCGTCTGCACTCGGACAGAGGCGGGGAGTTTTCCTCCGACCTCCTGAGAGCCTTCTGTCGTTCGGAGGGCATCCGCCAGACGTTCACGCTTCCGGCCTCCCCGCAGCAAAATGGGATTGCTGAGCGCCGCATTGGCATGGTCATGGACGTCGCTCGTACGTCCATGATCCATGCGGCTGCTCCCCATTTTCTGTGGCCGTTCGCGGTTCAGTACGCTGCGCATCAGATCAACCTTCAGCCTCGTGTCTCCTTGCCGGAGACCACACCTACTCTGCGGTGGACGGGGAAGGTTGGCGATGCGTCCGCGTTCCGTGTCTGGGGATCTCGAGCTTTTGTCCGCGATACTACAGCGGACAAGCTGTCCTCCCGTGCCGTTCCCTGTGTCTTCCTTGGCTTCCCTCCTGACGCACCCGGGTGGCAGTTCTACCACCCCACCTCGCGTCGTGTTCTGTCCTCTCAGGACGTCACGTTCGACGAGTCGGTGTCGTACTACCGTCTCTTTCCCTACCGCACTGCCTCTCCCCCCCCCCCCCGCCGCTCTTCCTGGCACCAGGTACTCCCCTGGTAGACCTCCTCCCCCCCCAGGGTCCTGCCCCCTCAGGTGTGTCCCAGGTAGACCCTGCCGAGCCGGTCGAGGTAGCTGTCGACTCCGGTGCTGCTAGGGGTACTGACCCTGCGGGTGCTGAGACGGGGGGTGCTGAGTCTAAGGGTGCTGAGACTGGGGGTGCTGAGTCTGGGGGTGCTGAGACTGAGCGTGCTGAGCCTGGGGGTGTGGCGCCTGAGGGTACTGTGTCTGGAGGTGCTGAGCCTGCGCGTGCTGCGTCTGGAGGTGCTCTAGGTGTCCCTTCACGGCGGGAGCCCCTCTCTCCACAGCGGCTTCGTGAGTGATACTCTCGGCACTGTCGGGTTGCTGCTGGTGCTGGTACTGCTGGTGCTGGAGCTGCTGGAGGTGCTGGAGGTGCTACTGGAGCTACTGGAGGTGCTGTCGCTGCTGGAGGTGCTGCCGGTGCTGGAGCTGCTGGAGCTGCTGGAGCTGCTGGAGGTGCTGCTGGAGCTCCTGGAGGTGCTGGTGCTACTGGAGGTGGTGCTGGTGCTGGAGCTGCTGGAGGTACTGGTGCTGCTGGAGGTGCTGCTGGAGCTACAGGAGGTGCTAGCGCTGCTGGAGGTGGTACTGGTGCTGGAGCTGCTGGAGATGCTGCTGGGACTGGAGCTGCTGGAGGTGCTGCTGGGACTGGAGACCCTGGGGCTGAGGGTACCGGTTCTGTCTCTGCTGTTTCTGGAGGCGCTGCGCGGCCGCGGCCGTACTACGTTCCGCTCCTTCAGCAGGTTCTTGGCTCCCCGCCTTCTCCTGGTCCTTCTCCTCCTTTCCTGAGTCCACCGCCTGCCCAGTCTCAGTCGCAGTTGCAGCCGGCCTCTCCCCTGCCTGGTCCTTCTCCTTACTCTGGTCCGACTAGAGGTCTTACGGAGCGTCGTGAGCCTGAGTCTCGTCCTGTGTCGCCTGCGTCTCGTTCTGCGTCGCCTGTCCGTTCTGTTCGCGCTGGTCGTGTTTCGCGTCCGCGTCTTCCTCCTGTCCCAGGCACTCACTCTATGACACTGCGTCCTTCTACTGCTTCACAGCGTGTCCCTCTGCCCTCTCCTCCTACGTCCTCTCTTCCTGACGGTCCGGACCCGGAGTCTGACTCCCTTCGTGCTGCTAGTCCTACCGTCACGCGCTTTCTGGCCACTGCTGTCACTGACCCTCTGTTTGAGTCCTCTGCTGCGTCTCCTCTTGTTGCTGAGCTTGTTGACTTTGCTGCAGCCTGTCGCCTAGACTACGCCACTAGTCTTGTTGCTGAGTCTGCGTCTGCGTCTGTCTGTCCTCCGTTCGTCGGGGGTGAGTGTGCTCTTGGCACGGACGTCCTTGAGGACAGGCAGGAGGACCTTGAGTGCTTTGCCGCTGCTTCACCTCATCTCGTGTCCATGCTGCTTGCCCGTGAGGGAGACCCGGATGCACTAGACATCCCGACCCCGCGCTCTTACGCAGAGGCGATAGAGGGTCCCTACTCCTCTCAGTGGCAGGCAGCCATGGACGCAGAGATGGCTTCCTGGAAGTCCACAGGCACCTACGTAGACGAGGTTCCCCCACCTGGGGCGAACATCGTCAGTGGCATGTGGATCTTCAGGGTGAAGCGGCCGCCGGGTTCTCCGCCTGCCTTCAAGGCGCGTTACGTTGCACGTGGCTTCAGTCAGCGACAGGGAGTTGACTTCTTTCAGACCTTCTCCCCTACCCCGAAGATGACCACTCTTCGGGTACTGCTGCACGTTGCTGCTCAGCGTGATTACGAGCTCCACTCGCTTGACTTCAGCACAGCCTTCCTACAGGGCAGCCTGCACGAGGAGATCTGGCTGCGCCGCCCACCTGGCTTCACTGGGTCGTTTCCTCCTGGTACCCAGTGGAGCCTCCGGCGGCCAGTCTACGGTCTCCGCCAGGCGCCCCGTGAGTGGCACGACACGCTCAGGACGACTCTTGCTGCTCTTGGTTTTGCTCCTTCCACTGCTGACCCTTCTCTGTTTCTACGCACTGACGCTACTCTGCCGCCGTTCTACGTTCTTGTGTACGTAGACGACCTTGTCTTTGCTACTGCTGACACGGACGCACTCGCGCAAAAGAGACACACGTGCACAGACCTGGGTGAGCTGACAAGCTATATTGGCTTGCGGATCACCCGGGACAGAGCACAGCGCACCATTACCTTGACTCAGTCACACATGGTGCAGCAGGTCCTTCAGCGCTTCGGCTTCACCGACTCCTCGCCACAGTCCACTCCTCTGCCTACCGGTCACTCGCTCTCAGCTCCACCTTCGGACGAGTCCGTAGAGCCGAGTGGCCCGTATCCAGAGCTTGTGGGCTGCCTCATGTACCTGATGACTTGCACACGACCTGACCTCGCATACCCTCTCAGCCTTCTGGCTCGCTACGTGGCTCCCACCAGGCACCGAAAGGTGCACTGGGATGCTGCGAAGAGGGTGTTGCGATACTTGTGCAGTACATCGGGCATGGGGCTCGTGCTTGGAGGACGGGCTCGAGTTGTCCTCACTAGTCACGCTGACGCCTCCTGGGTTGACGACTTGGCTACGCAGCGGTCATCACAGGGTTACACCTTCAGCCTTGGCTCCGGTTCTGTCTCCTGGCGGTCTACCCGCTCTTCTTGTGTTCTCAGCTCCAGTTGTGAGGCTGAGATCTACGCTGGGGCCATGGCTGCACAGGAGCTTCGCTGGCTCACCTACCTGCTGACCGACTTGGGAGAGGCGCCTCGTTCTCCTCCAGTTCTGTACGTCGACAACAAGGCCATGCTGGCCTTGTGTCAGGAGCACAGACTGGAGCACAGAACGAAGCACATTGCTCTGCGCTACTTCCTTGCTCGAGAGTTGCAGCAGCGTGGCCAGCTTCGTCTTGCTTACGTGGCCTCTCAGGCCAACACTGCTGATGTTTTCACCAAGGCACTTCAGCCTTGTGATCATCAGCGTTTCTGTACTGTATTAGGCCTTGTACCTACTGTGCCTCACTTGTTGACTTCTTGACTCTGCTTGTACTGTACTCTATATACTTATACCTGCGTGCTTACACTTGCTAGGTTGTGTTCACTGTATTGTTTGCTTTCCTTTATATAACTCTGCATGTGACCTGGCCTTATGGCCCTTTGCTTGTGCTCAGACTGTGTGGTGACTTTGTGATCCACCCTGAGCTTGCTTTGCTTTTCTTGACTGGTCTTGTGACCTCTTGTTCTCCCCCACTTTGCCTATGGGGGTGTGTCAAATTTATATCTGCTATAGTCTATTTAGGCTGTAGTGGGGTAGTTCTTAGAGGGTACAACACTTTTGTGTTTTCTACTTGTACCCATCTCATTCCTAGTTCATTCACTCTTTCGTCAATTATCTCACATCACAAGGGTTAGTGCCTCAGTGTCAGCAGTGGCAAAGACAAGGTCGTCAACGTACACGAGGACGTAGAACAGCGGCAGCGTGGTGTCGGTGCGTAGAAACGGCGATGGGTCAGCAGTAGAAGGAGCAAACCCAAGAGCCGAAAGTATAGTCCTCAGTGTGTCTTTCCACTCGCGAGGCGCCTGGCGGAGACCGTAGCCTGGCCGTCGCAGGCTCCACTGAGTACGTGCAGGAAACGACCTAGTGAAGACTGGTGGGCGGCGCAACCAGATCTCCTCGTGCAGGCTGCCCTGCACGAAAGCTGTGCTGAAGTCCAGAGAGTGCAGCTCATAGTCACGCTGAGCAGCGACGTGCAGCAACTGATAAGAAACGAGGAATGAGAATGACTAAAGGAAAGTTGGGTACAAAAGCAAACCCTAGAAAACTGTACCCCATATGTGCTACCCCACTATAGCCTACAGTAGCTATGTCATATAAATCTGACACACCCCCATAGGCAAAGTGGGGGAGAACAAGGGGTCACAAGACCAGTCAAGCAAAGCAAAACAAGCTCAGGGTGGATCACAAAGTCACCACACATTCCGAGCACAAGTTCAAGGCCACAAGGCCAGTTCACATGCAGGATTGCATATATATATATGGCTAGACAAGCAAGAGCAGGTGTATATATATATGCAACAGTACAAGCAAGGTCAAGGGGTGAGCAAGTGAGGCAAGGTAGGCACAAGACCTAGCTGAGTACAGAAGCGCTGATGATCACAAGGCGGAAGTGCCTTGGTGAAGATATCAGCAGTGTTGGCCTCAGAGGCCACGTACGCAAGCCGTAGCTGACCACGCTGCTGTAGCTCACGAGCAAGGAAGTAGCGGAGAGCAATGTGCTTCGTTCTGTGCTCCAGTCTCTGCTCTCGACACAAGGCCAGCATGGCCTTGTTGTCTACGTACAGCACTGGAGGAGAACGAGGCGACTCTCCGAGGTCAGTGAGCAGGTAGGTGAGCCAGCGAAGCTCCTGTGCAGCCATGGCCCCGGCGTAGATCTCAGCCTCACAACTGGAGCCGAGAACAGAAGACGAGCGGGTAGCCCGCCACGAAACAGAGCCGGAACCAAGGCTGAAGGTGTAACCCTGTGACGACCGCTGCGTAGCCTGGTCGTCAGCCCAAGAAGCGTCTGCGTGCCCAGTGAGGACCACTGGACTCTGCCCTCCAAGCACAAGCCCCATGCCCGACGTACTACACAAGTAGCGCAACACCCTCTTCGCTGCAGCCATGTGCTCCGGTCTGTGTCTCCCAGGAGCAACATAGCGTGCAAGAATGCTAAGAGGGTATGCAAGGTCAGGTCGTGTGCAGGTCATCAGGTACATGAGGCAGCCAACAAGCTCTGGGTACGGGCCACTCGACTCTACGGACTCATCCGAAGGCAGAGCTGAGAGCGAGTGGCGAGTAGGCAGAGGAGTGGCCTGAGGCGAGGAGTACGTGAAGCCGAAGCGTTGAAGGACCTGCTGCACCATGTGTGACTGAGTCAGGGTAATGGTGCGGCGTGCTCTGTCCCGGGTGATCTGCAAGCCAAGGTAGTTGCGCAGTTCACCCAGGTCTGTGCACGTGTGTCTCTTCTGCAGCTCGGACTTCACGTGGGCGAGTCCAGCAGTGTCAGCTGTGGCGAAGACCAAGTCGTCGACGTACACGAGGATGTAGAACGGCGGCAAAGAAGTGTCGGTGCGCAGAAACAGCGACGGGTCGGCAGTAGAGGGAGCAAACCCAAGAGCCGCAAGTGTAGTCCTCAGTGTGTCGTGCCACTCACGCGGTGCCTGGCGGAGACCGTAGACTGGCCGCCGGAGGCTCCACTGGGTGCCAGGAGGAAAGGACCCAGTGAAGCCAGGTGGGCGACGCAGCCAGATCTCCTCGTGCAGGCTGCCCTGCAAGAAAGCAGTGCTGAAGTCAAGAGAGTGCAGCTCGTAGTCGCGGTGAG